TCCTAATTCTTAACTAACTCTTTTCTAGAAAATGCATTTTGCAGTACAGCTGTCCTGTACTTTTAAAGTCAACTCTTCTATTTTAAACATGAAATCATGCAGCCAATTAAAAAATTATCTAGTGAGTTGCTAATAGAACCTTCAGCAACAGATAGAAAAGTTTGGAAATTAAAAATTTTAAAGTTCAAACTGCTTGACTTGCACATTTAGGTTCATAGATATTTACACCTTTTTTCTACTTCCAGACAGTAATTTACTTTGTTGGGCTGCTCAAAATATAATAACAATAGACACTTCACTCTGGATGCAAATATGGATGCAAAAAATTTGAAAAGACTCGGGGGTCTTTTCAAAACCCCTCCTTCAGAACCCATTCTTTTCTCTGAACTAGAATACCTGTTGTAGAAGGGGACTTTTGTGTTGTCTCTCAAGCCTGCAGAGGACATGGCAGTTGCTGACACTCTTCACAGACCCTCCAGTGGGACCAGCCGAAGACCGCCCAGCTGCAGGGTTCACTTTGACCTGGGTCATTAAATTGTTATTGTGCAAGTTGGGAGATAGGAATAGCTGTCGTTTCACGAGCAAATTTGCCCATAAAAGAAAAAACATTGAAACATGTTTTATTGTTAATACTGTTTGTAGCATTAATAGATATAAAGAAATGAGTTCTATTTTCTAGATTAGTGGTTTTCAAATTTTTTTGGACTCAGGATTGCTTTACGTTTGTAAAAATTGTTGAGAACCTCAAAGTGCTTTTATGCAGGTAAATATTAAAACTGAGGATTAAATATTCATTTCAAATCACAATAATAAATCATGACATGTTATAAGTTATTTTATGAAAAATAAGTATATTTACAAAATAAAAAACTTAGAATAATGACATTGTTTTACATGTTTGCAAATCTCTTTAATGTCTTGCTTAATAGAAGACAGCTGAATTCTCATCTGCTTTTGCATTCAATCAATTTGCAATATGTTATTTTCCTTGAAGCATTTGAAGAAAATCTGAGTTCACACGGATATGTATTTGGAAAAGAGAAGAGGACTTTAATAGCCTTTTCAGATAATTTTGGATGTTCTTTGATGCAACACTAGAACTTAACAAGTGGTAGTTTCTTTCTTGCTTGCTTTCTTCTTTTTTTTTTTTGCTGGGGAAGATTTGCCCTGAGGTAACATCTATGGCCAATCTTACTCTTTTTTTGCTTGAGGAAAATTAGCTCTGAGCTAACATCTGTGCCAGTCTTCCTCTACTTTATATGTGGGATGCCTCCACAGCATGGCTGATGAGTGTAGTGGGTTGTACCTGGGATCTGAACCTGTGACCTGGGCCGCTGAAGCAGAGCATGCAGAACTTTAACCATTTGTCCATGGGGTCGGCCCTGTTTTTTCTGTTTTTTTTTTTTTAAAATAGCTAGGCTTTTTTGTTTTTTTTTTTAAACTAGGAAAGATTCACCTTGAGCTGACTTCTGTTGCCAATTTTCCTCTTTTTTTTCCTCCCCGAAGTCCCAGTACATAGTTATATATCTAGTTGTAAGTCCTTCTGGTTCTTCTATGTGAGCCGCTGCCACAGCACGGCTGCTGAAGACGAGTGGTGTGGTTCTGCACCCGGGAACTGAACCTGGCGCACCAAAGTGGAGCACGCTGAACTTTACCTGCTAGGCTGTCAGGGCCAGCTCAACAAGTGGTAGTTTCTTAAAGGTTAGTTGCAGTGTGGTGTCTGAAGCCGTTTCAATGAACTCTTCATTCTCTGTTCCATTAAAATCTATTGATGTATCTTGTACCCTTGATGGATCTTTTATCCATGTGTGATATTGTAATATAATGCGTAGGTTATTTGAAAAATGCTGATCTCTTGAGATTTCCAAATGTTAAAACATTTCCTTGTATAGTATGACATTCACATTTGCTAATATCATCATTGCTGTCATCTGAAAAGTCTTTAAGTATTGGGAAACTCTCAAGCTCCTGGTAGTGGACACAAGTTTTCCTAAATAGTAATTTTTACTTATAAGTTTGAGTTTTTCTCATTCGCCACAATACTGTTACTTATTTTCCTTGAAGTGACAAGACTCACTTCATTCATTTTCAAGAAAATGTCTGCCAAATAGCCAAGACTGAATAACTAGTTTGCCTGGCAGTTCTTTCAAGTTAAAATGAAGTTTCATGACCGGACGGCTAATTCGGCTTACACCTCAAGCAGTGGCCCAGATCTTTTCCTAGAGCCTTGTGCCTGGTGCTTTATTCGTATTGCCCAATTCATCACGCAGACTATTACAATAATGTGTCCTCAAGGTGGTGATTGAATAGAATTAATAATTTTTACTGTGTCGTCAGGGACATTCTTCAGTGAAAATGGTTTTTTTCCTGCTAATGCAGGAAGGTGAAAGACACGGTGACTCCTAGCACAGCTGGGGGCTACCGCCTTGACCTCTGCTGAGGCACCAGCAGCGCTTCTGTGCTGTCAGGGCAAATGGTAACCCCGCTGTTGCAGGGTAACCTGGAGATTCAAAAAAGCTCTTCAATGTTTTGAATATTTCAGCATCTCTTGTATTTTGTTGCCAATGATTCACGTAGATCCTCTTTGATGATTCAGTGTACTGAGTAACAGACAGATACAAACAAAACAGCAAGTCCGTTGTTCTGGAGATTCACCCATTTGTAAGGCAAAAGTGTGATTCTTCAGATGAGATGTCAGCTTAGTCTCATGCTGCAGCTACAGCTTTAATCGGATGAGTTCCTGTGTTGTCGCAAGGTGACGGTGCTGAGGTTTTGTTTTTCTGACTTTTCCTCCAGTAGGCATTCAGCAGTATCAACTGTAAAACTCTCAGCTGGTACGTGTGCTTCCCCAGCCAGTGCTGCGTGGCAGCCAACCCTATAAGATGCTTCTGGCTTTTGCATTTCTAGTTTGAAAAACATTACAATACTATATAAAACAATATATTGTGACATAATAGAGCTTATCACATCTAAGTTTAAAATATTCAATTCCTTTTTCTTTATACTTTGAATGATTGGTCTCAAAATAACACTGCAACTTAACTGGCATCATAAATATTATTTAAAAAATGTTCCATTGCATAAGACACAATAAGATCAATTATTCATACTTATAAAGTTGAGAGAAATTTGGCTTTCATCATAACTTCATTTCTTATTTGTAATTTCACCCAGTTCCCCGGGAGTAGACCCTTCCATCCCTGAGTCAGAGGACTCTTGAAATGCCAGTTTCATTTTTTTTTCAGCATTTTTACATGTAGACAGTGTTGTTGTAGGTTGGGAATGTTAGTCTTGAATCCCATTATAAGACAACAATTCATCCTTAAATTAGGAAAAAGTGTGTTATAAATAAATTTTGTTTTAGAATTAGATAAAATATTATTAAACTCTAAAATGAGTTTCAATTAAAATTAAAATTTTTATTTGAAAACTTGAAAATATTACTGTGAAACTGAAGGTACCCGGTCCTGTTGTGTTTCTGTGTAGGTTGCCAGGGAAAATTTGGGATTCAAAACAAGAACCTGTTGAACCATAACAAAGGCATAGAGGCTATAGCAGCAATCACCAGAGACAGCTAGTGAGAGCACAGTAGTAGTACTAAGAACAAACAATCCATGAAGACACACCTCTTCATACCCTAACCCTCTGTAGAATTAGAACACACAAGCCACATTCCATTAAGTGTCAGAGTGGTGATGTTATCACACATCGTGTAGCTTCTGGAAAGTTCTACCATACACTCAGAATGAAAGTGAAAAAGGCAAATAATGCTTAGCTTTCCTATGAAAACAGTTGGGAACTCAAGGACCCCCTGAAGGGTTCCCAGGGACCTCCTGTGGTCCCCTGGCCACTCTTAAAGAGCCACGCTTCTAGACATTTGAATCCACCTTCAAAGAGCTTTAAAAGTCACCTCAGAAAATCACTGTACATCTTTTATGTTTTGCAGCTCTAAAGGAAGTGTGATAATTCCACATTAAGATCCTCCTCATCCAGGCCTTGTCTGGTGATTCTCATAGAGTTAACTCTGATATCTTTTGTCATGTCATATTGATAAGGGCGAGGGTCAGAAAGTGGAAGAATGGTGGGTACTTTGATTACATGACATAAGTTGATTAATTAATTAATTGTTTTAGTTGGAGAAGAAATGTATAATCTTGGTTCAAGGCTAGGCTTTATTGGTGTAGGACCATGTCCCTCATTCCTTGACTGAGTTTATGACTGGAGAGTGTGAAGATTTGGATAAGAACATTGATCTTTTCTATCTAGGGTCTTGCTGCTGGGGCTTAACTGCTAGACTGTCACAGGACGGAGGTCTTGGCTTCCTCCCAGGTGGCAAGGATAACACGGGGGTGTGTCCTCCCCTCGGAACACTGCTCACCTCTCCGGTCCTGATATCAGAGCTCTCGAACGTTGATTTAATGTGATAATTAGTTAGGAGTAACTTGCCCAGTAAACAAAGTGGATTTTATAGTATTGTGCTATTAAGATTGGAAAGTTGTTAAGTTATGAAATACTATATTTCTATGTAGTATAGTACTACATTTCTTTGATTCTAAGATGCACATTTTGGCACATTTTAACAACACTGAATGAGAATGTGTTTTTCAATCAAACATGCATCAGTTTAACTGGTGGCATCTTTTTTTTCCATTTTTGTGAAGTAGTATCAGTTTTTGTTTTATCTTTGAAATGTTATCTTCAAATATATTTCTTTCGATGTAATTATAAATACCTATTTCATAAGGAAGACTACAGTATATTTCACTCTTTAATGGTTTCTGTATTTTTCTTCTAAAAAAATAACAGAATCTGGCAATAATTTATATATGTATTTTTTCTGAAGTGTGCACTTCCACATTAAGCGCTTCATGGCAAATAGAAAATTAACATTAAATTCTATTTTTGTAAATTCTTTAAAAGTTTGCTTTCCTTTTTTAAAAATCTCTTTTGCTGCTTCTGTTTTAAATTTGATATTGAGTATTTAATTCTGTTTGTAATAGGTTTATTTTAGGACAGTGGAACTTATAGAAGAACCTATAAAAGGGTCTCCTGGTCTGAGTTTCTACTTCAAAATTAATGGGCTTCCCATATTTCTGAAAGGCTCCAACTGGATCCCAGCAGATTCGTTCCAGGATCGAGTAACCTCTGACTTGTGAGTGATCATCTTTCTTTTCTTCCTTGTGCTATATTTGTTCTTTTAGTTCCTCTTTTTATTAACAGTCCCACAAAGCTTAAGAATTACCCGTTTTTACTTTCTTTAGTTCCAGTGGAAGGAACTGAGAGGTAATACAGAATTCTAGAATTTTGGAAACTTTAGAATGAAAAAGATTTTTAAATAATATATTCCATTCTAATGAACTATAGATAGTCTTACAGCTAAACTGAGACTGCTGAAACCATCCAATTTTGAGAAAGCTATTATATATTTTCTCTGGAGGAACAAGGAAATTACTAATGCACATTCAGGGTTAGTCTCTGAAAAAAATAATTTGGCTTTTTCAGTTTTTGAAAAATACCTTAAATATTTTTGTGCATGCTTTTAAAAAAAATGGGAACTCATATGTACCTCTTCATGCTAAGACATTTGCATGTTCTTTTACTTTTCTCCTTAATACGAAAACCTAAAAAAAAATCTTTAAAATTCTAGATCTGGAAAAAAATTTAAAGTATTTTTCTGAAGCTTTGAGAATAGAACTTTACAAGAAAATTATGTTTCCTGATTGAGTTTATAAACTATCATCTTTGTAATAGTGAAAATAAACATATTTAACTTACTTACAAATGTATAAATATGCACTGTGGCATATTATTTGATGCTTAGAACGTAGATGTGGTTGGTAACTAAACTCTAATTTTGCCAAAAGTTGTAGGAATTTTCTTTTACTTCAGAATGTGTATATCGTTTTGAAGTTCATATGAAAATGGAATTATTCTCCAGACACAGACAAAGACAGTTTGCTGTCTCTTTCCTTTTCAAATGCTCCTCTTCTCTCCTGGCTGGTTTCGGTGGTGGCTGTTTGTCACAGCTGGTCCAGTTACTGACCCTGCCTATGGGTGTCTTTTCTGGAAAAACAGTGCTCTGGGTCCCCGCCAGCCTGCTATTGGGTTTCTTCCTTCCTTTTTGGATGCTCTTTGGAGATGGATGGTACACGCTCTCAAAGAGGCTGTAAATTTCTAGATTTTCCTGAGGGTAATGTGAATAGAAATTGGAAAAGCAGAAAGGAAATTTACTAGAGAAACAAGTACTGGACTGGAGAAATTGTAAAAAAGGAGGTAAGTGTCAGCGAGGTACTAATATTCAAACTTTGATTTTCATCTTACAGTTTGCAATGGTTATATAAAATTAGCACATACTTTCCGAGGTATACAACTGTATTTTTCTATAGGAATAACTTTAAGACAAAAGTTTAGTTTTAAAAATAGTATAATAACATTACTGAAAATTTAGAAAGAAAAGATATCACCCATAATTTTTCTAGGTTTGTTTATTTTATGTGGTTATAGTTAATGAATATATAATTTTGTCTCACTTTCTTCACTTAGCATTAAATCCAAACCATCCTAATTTTAAAATGTGTTTTTCTATGTGTTTGCTAACCACAATGTGTTTTATAAATCTTTTTTTTAACATTTTCAAATTTTCAGATTAGCATTTGTTTTAAAAACTTCTTTATAGATTGCGCCTCCTTCTGCAGTCTGCTGTGGATGCGAACATGAACACTCTCCGGGTGTGGGGAGGAGGGGTCTATGAGCAGGACGAGTTCTACGAGCTCTGTGATGAACTGGGGATAATGGTGAGTGGCTGGCAGCATTTATTTGTTGGTGGGTCACTGTAGCCTCAGTTGGACCTCTGATGCTCTGAATGGGCGATATTGCTCACTCCTTCTTGTCTCAGAGCCAGGCATGATGTTGCATTTTTTTGTGAAGGAATAAATGACATCTTGCAAACCCAGAGCCGTAGCTGATAGCAAACATCATAATTATTTGATTATTTTTAAATGATAGACATTCTATATATTAGTTTAGTTATATCTAAGTATATATCTATCTACATTTTCTTTGTAATTTTCTTTGTGATATGAGGGTTTGCATAAAAAATAAAATATTTAAAAATTTTAACCGTAAGGAGATCTATCAAGAACTAGAGAGAGGAAAAATAGTCAATAAAGAAAAAATGTGCTTAATACTGTTAAGTACTCCAAAATTTATTTGTTTCCAGATATTTTTTGATTTCTCCTTTAATTTCTTCAATGATCCATTGCTTGTTCAATAGCATATTGTTTAGTCTCCACATCTTTGTCCCTTTCTCAGCTTTTTTCTTGTAATTAATTTCTAGCTTTATAGCATTATGATTGGAGAAGATGCTTGTTATTATTTCAATTTTTTTAAGTTTATAGAGGCTTGCCTTGTTTCCCAACATATGGTCTATCCTTGAGAATGTTCCATGTGCACTTGAGAAGAATGTGTATTCTGCTGTTTTTGGATGAAGTGTTCTATATATGCTTATTAAGTCCAACTGTTTTAGCTTTTCGTTTAGCTCCACTGTTTCCTTGTTGATTTTCTGTCTGGATGATCTGTCCATTGATGTGAGTGGGGTGTTGAGGTCCCCTATTATTATTGTGTTCTTTTTAATATCTTCTTTTAGGTCTGTTAATAGTTGCTTTATGAACTTCGGTGCTCCTGTGTTGGGTGCATAGATATTTATAAGCATTATTTCTTCTTGATGGAGTGTCCCTTTGATCGTTATATACTGCCCCTCTTTGTCGCTCTTTACCTGCCTTATCTTGAAGTCTCCTTCGTCTGATACAAGTATTGCGACACCTGCTTTCTTTTGTTTGCCATTAGCTTGGAATATCGTCTTCCACCCCTTCACTCTGAGCCTGTATTTGTCATTGGCGCTGAGATGTGTTTCCTGGAGGCAACAAATTGTCGGATCGTGTTCTTTAATCCATCTTGCCACTCTGTGTCTTTTTATTGGAGAGTTCAATCCATTTATGTTTAGGTTCATTATTGACGTATGAGGCCTTAATGCTGTCATTCTGTCACTGGTTTTCCGGTTTTCTTGCATTTGCTTTGTTTCTCGTCCTGTGTATTTTGGTCTACCCATTGATTACTGCAGTTTCTTATGCTGTGTTTCTTAGTTTTTTCCTTATTTATTTTTTGTGTCTCTGTTCTGCTTTTTAGTTTAGTGGCTACTCTGAAGTTTGTATTCAGAATCTTGTGGATAACAGTCCATTTTCTGATGGCCTCCTATTTCCATAGTCAAAACTGATTCAGTCCCTTTCCTCCCTCCCTCCTAAGTTGTTTTTCTCATGTCTTATTCCAACTTGTGTTGTGAGTTTGTGGTTAAAGTGACAAGATTGTCTTTGTTTTTGGTGTTTTCTTTCCCTTTATCCTAGTGCTATAGTTGAAGATTTGCTATCCTATTCTGATTCTCTCTGTCTGTCTCCTTACTCTGTGTTTTGTGAGCCCTTTCTCCCTTTTTTCCTTTTTTCAGGTATGAGGGCGTTCTTGAGGATTTCTTGGGGGGGGAGGGGGGGCGGGTCTCATGGCTACGAAGTCCCTTAGCTTACTTCCAGATAAGTAAACTGACATGTGGAGAGGCTCCATAACTTGCCCAAGCTCACAGAGCAGATGTGTGGTGCAATCGGATTCTGACTCAGGCTGACTTATTCGGGCCAAGCTCAGCTACTGCGTCATAACGGCCTCCCTAGAAATGGACTGTCTGGTTTCATTAGTAGAATGCCCGTGTTGTGGTCCTTTTGGCCATGAAAAGTTAATTCCTTTATAAACAAGGTGTTTCTTAGCAGTCTGGTCCATCTCTCAATACCAAATTCCAGGTGAAGATTAGGGTGAATTAGGAATGAGGAGGGGGAAACTCCTGCTTTTGAAATTTCATATTCCCCTCAACACACACACACTGTTTTCTTATTTAACTTCCCCTTTCTTCTCTTTATTCTCTGCCCACCTAGTGTCTTCTCTTCTCAGGTTTCCCTGTGGCCCTGGAGCGCCATAGGCCTGTGCCTGCCTTTCCCGGGCCTCACGCACAGCAGTGCTCCAGTGATCTTACCCATCCCATCCGGCTAACTTGGGTTTCGTTTGCGTTAAAGAGAGTCCCCTAAGTTCAGAAGGAAGAATTTCTCTCTGTGTGATCATATCTGTGGAAGTGCCTTATTGCCTTCTGTTTGACTTGATAGGTGTGGCAGGACTTCATGTTTGCCTGTGCCCTTTATCCAGCTGGCCAGGGTTTCTTGGACTCCGTGAGAGCAGAAGTTGCTTACCAGGTACGTTATCACTGTTCTAAGAAGGAAGATGCTTATGTTCCAGTTCTGCCTTTTGTTAAACCGCTCCTGCTTACTTTTTGTTTTTTCTTTACTAAATCCCATGAAAAACCACAGTCACATAATTGACTCCCTAGGTGACTACACCCAGTCTCATGGCTTTAAGACCACCTATATCTTGATGAACCCAGCCCTGGTGGTCTAGTGGTTAAGACCCAGTGCTCTCACTGCCATGGCTGGGGTCCTGTCCTGGTCAGGGAACCACACCACTTGCCTGTGGATTGTCATACTGTGGTGGCTGTGTGTTGTTGTGATGCTGAAAGCTGTACTACAGGTATTTCAAATTCCCTCAGGATCATCTATGGTGGACAGGTTTCAGAATAAGATAGACTAGGAAGAAGGGCTCCCAGAATAAGATAGACTAGGAAGAAGGACCTGGCCACCCACTTCCAAACAAATTGGCCATGAAAACCCTGTGAACAGCAACAGAGTGTTGTTGCTAGAGCACCACTAGATGAGAGGATGGTGCAACAAGACTGAGCAGGGCTCTGCTTTGCTGCCCACAGGGTCACTGTGAATCAGGACTGACTCAGTGGCACTAACAGTATGCTGGTGACCCCGGCTTGTCTACTGAGTTCCTGGTTCTTACATCCAGCTACCTTTGGTGCCTCCCCTTGGAGGTGTAATAGGCATCTCAACTGTAACGTGTCCAAACCAAGCTTACATTATATTACTTTTCCCAAATTTGCTTTCCCTGCAGTTTTCCCCACCTCAATAAATGGCAATGCCAGCCTTTGAATTTCATTTCTCAGGTCAAAAATTTGAAGTGATTCTTACACCTTGGTTTCTTTTGCATTCCACATGTACACACTTATATTTATATTTATAGATCTATAAATGCAAAGAAGTGAATCCTAACTCTGTCCGTTGGAAAGGCCTAGAAACAATGGACAATGTAATAATGTTGAGCATCCTTATATTGAAATAATCCTTGCCGTTAAGAGAAGGGTTTCTTACAGAAATGGCTGATTCCAGGTCTGGGACAGGAAATATACTAGGTAATCCTGGAGTATTTTGACACACAGATAACAAAGAAGCTATCAAAGATGTGTCAAAAGAACTTGACGAGACTCCGATCAACTAAGAGTAGGACAATTTGGGATTTAATAAAGATAAGAATGTCAGTGGATTGAAATCCACCAAGTACGTTAATATCCAAGAGTTCATAATTTTAGTGTCTGTGGATGTGTATTTCTGTGAATAACCAAAAGAAATGCAAGCACGTGATTCTTGTAGCACTCAAGATAGTAGTTACTTTTGGAAGGAAGAAGGGACTGCAGTTAGGAAGCGGTGCATGAGGCTTCTTGGGGTGGTTGGTAAAGGTCTCTTCCTTGGTCTGGGTGGTGGTTATGAGGGTGATTGCCTTATAGTAGTTAAGTATCTTGTAATTTGTTTTCTGCATCTGTTTTATTTTTTTTTTAAGAAAAAAGGTTTAAAAAGTGCATGTTGAATCATCCCTTGCTCAGAGCCCTGCGCATAAACTTAAAGATCCTCACCATGCACTATGCTGTCCTGTCTGCCATTTCACCTCCAAGCACCACGTTCCCCATCTGTCTGTGCCCAGGAACGGCTTCCCCGTCACCCTCCCTTGTGGATCACCTCACTCATTCTCTTCTGGCCCCTCTTACCTTGAGCATGACTTTCTCTAGGAAAACCTTTCCATATCTGGAATTCTAGAGTAGATCCTTTGTCCTTTGTGACACACGTCACACTTTGAATGACTTGTTCAGTGTATTGTCACTCCTGCAAGCTTGTGATCTCGCTAAGGTCTTGGGCTTGTCCCCTCTGTATCCTCATGACCTGGCTGTGGCTAGATGGATGGATGGATGAATAACTTTTAGAGGTTTTAATTTTCTTTTATACAAATGATGAAAATATATCTACGCGCCTTCAATTCTTTTATGTATTATTAAAGAGAAGGAGAACTTTTCTTATGCAGAATTTGTTGAAATTTTAAAGTAAAGCTTACCATAAAATTCTAGATCAGATTGAAGTGTGTATGTGGCATAGAGTCCCTGAAGCTTCTTCCCTCTTGACTGTTTGTATTTGTGTTTTCATCAGTACCATAAACATGCCAGGCACAGTTGTTAGCAGCCCTTACTTATCTGGGCCTATGCACAAGAAAATAAAGGAAATGCTGTTTATAAGCCTGGTTTAGAAAAACACAAGACTTTAATTTTTTTTTGAGATGTATTTCTTTCTCTCTCTCTCTTTTTTTTTTGGTTGAGGGAGATTCACCCTGAGCTAACATCTGTTGCCAATCCTCATCCTTTTTTGCTTGAGGAAGATTAGCCCTAATATCTGTGCCAGTCTTCCCTCGTTTTGTATATGGGTTTCCTCCACAGCATGGCTGATGAGTGGTGTAGGTCTTTGCCTGGGATCCGAACCCACCAACCCAGGCCACTGAAGCGGAACGCACTGAACTTAACCACTATCCCATTGGCCAACCCTGAGATGTATCTCTTTAATACATCCTTCATGCATCTCTATTCTATGTATGAGTTACTTAGTCTCTTGAATGGAGACTACATTGAGAATATCAGCTGGGATCCATCACTGTAATCTTCCGTTACAGTGAAAGAGAAGCTATAAATGAGGTTGTATTGCTGAAACATGTTCCAAAAGAATTTCTCTTGACCGTTGGCTCATTCTGTTGTTCTCAAAGAGATGTAATTGCCCTCCTCTGCTGGGGCCCGTCTCCCAGTGTCAGAAGAACCGGATCCTTTGACCTTTATGTTGGGTGGCCCACAGTGAGCCCAGTTCCATGCAGCCCTCGATTGTCAAGGCTGGCAGCGTTTTCAGATAGATTCTCTCATTTCTTCTATGTGTAGATATATTCAGTAACTTGCTTAACCTTGCTTGATTTCTTGGAACATGATGTTGATAGTTATTTCAGGAGACATTCTCTTGATGAGCTGATTTTTTTTCCTTTAGAATATTCCATATATTTATCTTTAGCTTCCAGAGTATCTCTGCTTCTCACTTGCTTTGTAAAGCAAAACTCTCTGGTCGTCCTTATAGTGGTGTTTGTTGTCTCTCATTTGTTTCTTTTTCTTTTTTTTAGAATTTCTTTTTATTTCATTTATTTATTCAGTGTTTTTTTAAATTGCAGTAACATTGGTTTATAACATTATATAAATTTCAGGTGTACATCATTATATTTCGATTTCTCTGTAGATTACATCATGTTCACCACCCGAAGACTAAGTACAATCCATCACCACACACATGTGCCTAATCACCCCTTTCGTCCTCCTCCCTCCCCCTTCCCCTCTGGTAACCACCAGTCCAATCTCTGTCTCTCTCTGTTTGTTTGTTTCTGTTTTTATCTTCTATTTACGAGTGAGATCATATGGTATTTGACTTTCTCCCTCTGAGTTATTTCGCTTAGCATCATACCCTCAAGATCCATTCATGTTGTTACAAATGACCAGATTTCATCCTTTTTAATGGGTGAGTAGTATTCCATTGTGTGTATATACCACATCTTCTTTATCCGTTTGTCCCTTGATGGGCACCTAGGTTGCTTCCAAGTCTTAGCTATTGTGAATAATGCTGCAATGAACATAGGAGTGCATATATCTTCACCCATTTGTGTTTTCATGTTCTTTGGCTAAACACCCAGCAGTGGAATAGCTGGATCATATGGTATTTCTATTCTTAATTTTCGGAGGAATCTCCATACTGTTTTCCATAGTGGCTGTACCAGTTTGCACTCCCACCAGCAGTGTACGAGGCTTCCCTTCTCTCCACATCCTGTCCAGCGTTTCTTTTTTTTCCCCTGCTTTTTTCTCCCCCAATTCCCCCAGTATATAGTTGTATATATATATATTTTTTAAAGATTTTATTTTTTTCCTTTTTCTCCCCAAAGCCCCCCAGTGCATAGTTGTATATTCTTTGTTGTGGGTCCTTCTAGTTGTTGCATGTGGGACGCCGCCCCAGCATGGTCTGATGAGCAGTGCCATGTCCGCGCCCAGGATTCGAACCAACGAAACACCGGGCCGCCTGCAGCGGAGCGTGCAAACTTAACCACTCGGCTACGGGGCCAGCCCCTATAGTTGTATATTTTAGTTGTGGGTCCTTCTAGTTGTGGCATGTGGCACTGTGGTCTGATGAGTGGTGCCATGTCCGTGCCCAGGATCTGAACCAGCGAAACCCTGGGCCACCAAATTGGAGCACACGAACTTAACCACTCGGCCACGGGGCCAGCCCCTCTCCAACACTTCTTCTTTCCTGTCTTGTTAATTATAGCCATTCTGACAGGAGAGGTGATAGCTCATTGTAGTTTTGATTTGCATTTCCCTGATAGCTAATGATGTTGAATGTCTGTTCATGTGCCTGTTGGCCATCTGTAAATCTTCTTTGGAGAAAAGTCTGTTCAGATCTTTTGCCCAATTTCTAATTGAGTTCTTAGTTTTTTTGATGTTGAGATGTACGAGTTCCTTGTGTATTTTGGATATTAATCCCTCATCAGATATATGGTTGGCAAATATTTTCTCCCAGTTGTTAGGTTGTCTTTTCACTTGTTCCTTTCACAGAACTCCAACTTGCTCTTGAGAAACTCACCCCTGTAATATAATGTCTCCTGCCCTTTGAATTTCTTAGAACCTTTTTGTGGAAAGGCAGATAATGATGAGGTTGATATATTTTTCTTTTTCAATAAAAGGGATTATATTTTCTTCAGTTTTCATATAGTAGAGAAGAGGAACCATCTCTTATTAGTATATATAATATCTAGATAAAAAGAATCTCAAGAGATTTCTTAAACTGTATTCCCACAGGTAACATTACCAACCATTTTCTAATGAGTTTTCTGGCGCATAAGAATTTATAGGCAGAAATGAATGGCTATAATTTTGTGAATAATTATAGCTCTGAGTTTCTTCTGTTGAGCATTTGAAAATTATTTTATATTTTCTTAAATTTTAGGCCAGGAGACTGAAATCTCATCCCTCCATCATCACGTGGAGTGGAAATAATGAAAATGAAGCAGCACTGATGATGAATTGGTATGGCATACACATCAGTGACTTGCCTACCTACATCAATGATTATGTGACACTGTATGTGAAAAACATCCGAGAGATCGTCTTGACAGTAAGTAATGATTTTTAGTGGAGTAGAATTTAAGAACCTGTTTTAAAAATGGATCAGTTTGAATATTGTTATAATATATTTTTAAGCCCCCTCTTTTTTTTTGGTGGGGAAGATTGGCCCTGAGCTAACATCTGTTGCCAATCTTCCTCTTTTTTGCTTGAGGAAGTTTGTTGCTGAGCTAACATCCGTGCCAGTCTTCCTCTACTTTGTTTGTGGGGTGCCACCATAGCATGGCTGCTTGAGCCATGTGTAGGTCCTTGCCCGGGATCTGAACTGGTGAACCCCGGGCCACTGAAGCAGAGTGCGTGAACTTAAGCACTACGCCACCAGGTTGTTTACACCCCTTTTTCTAAGGCAAGCTTCAACAATATCATTTTAATGCAGAGTAATCCATTGTGATGCTGCAGCATGTGAAAGCATTCATGCGTGCTGGACTTCTTTGAGAGTTAACTTATTTATGGAACTCACCACACATACACCAACATTATGCTTACAATTACAGGTTCTTGTAGACTCTTTGGAGCTCATCCGTGGATCCCCAAAGGTTGAGAATCTCTACGTTAGATGATTTATTGATATGTCATTTTTTTCCTCTTTAATATATTAACATAGTGAATTTTGTGAATTAATTTTCTAATGGTAAACTAGTCCTAGTGTAAGCTCTATTTAGTTGTAATGCTGTGTTCTTTTATTCTATGCTAGGTTTGATTTGCTAATATTTTAGTTAGAATTTAAAAATTCACGTTTACAAGTGAAATTGGTCTATGATGAGAATTATAAACTCAAATGCCTAGAGGAGCCAAATCTGTTAAAAAAATTGAGTAGAGTAGATGAGGCTCTCAAAGACAGAAGAGATGACTGTGGTAATAGGAGAATGGATGTTGGGCCTCGTCACACTTAGATTCAGCATTAAATAATGCTATCTAAACATAATCATTGGCAAGACAGATGTGACCTATAACACCCAGCTTGTAGCATTTGGTAGGTGTGTCTGTGTTTATGCTCACCTTGTGGAATGAGTTAGGAGGCTTTTTTTTTTTTAAACATCTAGAGATAATTTAAATAAAATAGATTATTGGTTTTATTGAGACAAATTCACCTGCAAAACAGTCTGGGCTCTGTGCATTTTTAGGGGGCATAGATTTTTTTCCCCTCAATATATTTAATTTCTTCTGTGATTATTTCCAATTTGAGTTTACAACTTCTTCTAGAACTATGGATATTTATGTTTTCTAGGAACATGGCATTTCATCTAGAATTCAAAAGTTACTGTGTAAGTAGACATGACTCTTGTAGAGTGTGTTACCTGGGAACAGCTGTGCAGGCTGAGAGGCCCCAGGATTGTCCATGCAAGGAATATTTGGGTGTGTAAGTTGCTCCCTTTTGTATGTGTCTGTGTATTTGTGCGTGTATGTCCATTGTGGATATCTGTGGAGTTACCTCTGGAAGCAAATACCCCTGCCAGAAGATTTCCATAAACAGAGAGAAGAGGGGACACAGCTGGCTCAGTTTGTCTATAGGTATTTCATTTGTTTTCTTTCTTATTTTTTCTTTTGTAAGAGCACAGTAGAGAGTCCTTCTTTTTTTGTTTTGACTTCCTTCACCCATTTCATCCATCACCTCATCTCCTGCCTCCAGCAACCACCAATCTGTTCTTTGTATTTATGAGCTTGTTTTTCTTTTTAAATTCCACATATGAGTGAGATCATATGGCATTTGTCTTTGTCTGACTTATTTTACGTAGTGTAATGCCCTCAAGCTCCATCTATGTTGTCACAAATGGCAAGAATTCATTCTTTTCTTTGGCTGAGTAATATTCCATATATATATCTATCTATCACATTTTGTTTATCCAATCATCCATCAGTGGACACTGGGGTTGTTTCCATATCTTGGCTATTGTAAATAATGCTGCAATGAACATGAGGATGCATATATCTTTTTGAGTTAGTATTTTCATTTTCTTTGAATAAATACCCAGAAGTAGGATTGCTGGATCATATGGTACTTCTATTTTTAATTTTTGAGGAACCTCTGTACTGTGTTCTGTAGTGGCTGTACCAGTTTACATTCCCAGCAGTGCACAAGGGTTCCCTTTTCTCCACATCCTTGCCAGCATTTGTTCTCTCTTGTCTTTTTGTTAATAGCCATTCTAAGAGGTGTGAGGTGGTATCTCATTGTGGTTTTGATTTGCGTTTCCCTGATTATTAGTGATGTTGGGCACCTTTTCATGTACCTGTTGCCCATCTCTATGTCTTCTTTGGAAAAATGTCTATTCAGATCCTTTGCCCATTTTTAAATTGGATTGTTTGATTTTTTTACTGTTGAGTTGTATGAGTTCTTTATATGTTTTGGATATTAGCCCCTTATCTGATATGTGATTTGCAAATATTTTCTCCCATTCAGTAGGTTACCTTTTCATTTTGTTGATGGTTTTCTTTGCTGAAGCTTTTTAGTTTGATATAGTCCCACACATTTACTTTTGCTTTTGTTGCCTTTGCTGTTGGTGTCAAATCCAAAATATCATCACCAAGACTGATGTTGAGGAGCTTATCATCTATGTTTTCTTCTAGGGTTTTTATGGTTTCAGGTTTTACATTCAAGTCTTAATCCATTTTGAGTTAATTTTTGTATATGGTATAAGATAGTGGTCTAGTTTCATTCTTTGCATGTGGCTCTCCATTTTTCCCAACTCCATTTATTGACGAGAGTGTCCTTTCCCCATTGCATATTCTTGGCTCCTTTGTCATAAATTAATTGACCATATATGTATGAGTTTACTTTTGGGCTCTCTATTCTGTTCCGTTGATCCATGTATCTGTTTTTATTCCGATGTACTGTTTTGATTACTCTAGCTTTGTAACATAATCTGAAGTCAGGCAGCATGATGCCTCCAGCTTTGTTCTTTTTTTCTTAAGATTGCTTTGGCTCTTCAGGGTCTTTTGTGGTTCCATACAAATTTTAGGATTATTTGTTCTATTTCTGTGAAAAATGACATTGGAATTTTGATAGGGATCACATTGAATCTGTAGACTGAGTTGGGAAGTATGGGCATTTTAACAATGTTAATTCTTCCATTCCATAGCACAAAATATCTTTCCATTTATTTTTGTCTTCTTCAATATCTTATAGTTTTCAGTGTCCAAGTCTTTCACCTTCTTGGTGAAAGTTATTCTTAGGTATTTTATTCTTTTTGATGCAGTTATAAATGGGATTGTTTTCTTAATTTCTGTTTCTGATTGTTCATTATTAGTGTATAGAAACACAACATATTTCTGTATATTAATTTTGTATCCTACAACTTTAATGAATTCATTTATTAGTTCTAACAGTTTTTTGGTGAAGTCTTTAGGGTTTTCAATATATCAAAATTTTCAACTATTATGATATATGACAGAATAATATCATGTCATCTGCAAATGGTGACAGTTTTACTTCTTTCTTTCCAATTTGGATGCCTTTTATTTCTTTTTCTTGCCTAATTGCTCTGGCTAGGACTTCAAATACTATGTTAAATAAAAGTGGCAAGAGTAGACGTACTTGTCTTGTTCCTGATCTTAGAGGAAAAGCTTTGAGCTTTTCACCTTTGAGTAAATTGTTAGTTGTGGACTTGTCATATATGGCCTTTATTATGTTGAGGTATGTTCCCAGTTTGTTGAGAGTTTTTATCATAAATGGAGGTTGAATTTTGTCAAATGATTTTTTTCTGCATCTATTGAGATGATTGTATGATTTTTGTCCTTCATTTTGTTAATGTGATGTAGCACCTTGATTAATTTGCAGATGTTGAACGATGCTTGCATCCCTGGAATAAGTCCCACTTGATTATGGTTTATGATCCTTTTAATGTATTGTTGAACTTGGTTTGCTGATCTTTTGGTAAGGATTTTTGCATCTATGCTCATCAGGGATATTGGCCTGTAATTTTCTTTTCTTGTGTTGTCCTTGTCTGGTTTTGTTATCAAGGTAATCCTGGCCTTGTAAAATGAGTTTGGAAGTGTTCCCTTCTCTTCAGCTTTTTTGGAAGACTTTGAGAAGTTTGGAGAGTTTGAATGTTGGCTTCAATTCACCAGTGAAGCCATCTGGCCCTGGACTTTTGTTTGTTGGGAGTTTTTTGATTACTTACTTAATTTCCTTGCTAGTAATTAGTTTGTTTAGATTTTGTATTTCTTCATGATTCAGTCTTACAAGGTTGTATGTTTCTAGGAATTTGTCCATTTCTCCTAGATTGCCCAATTTGTTGGCATTAAGTTTTTCATAGTAATCTCTTATGATCATTTGTATTTCTGTATTATCAGTTATAACATCTCCTCTTTCATTTCTGATTTTATTTGAGTCCTCTCTTTTTCTCTTGGTGAGTCTAGATAAAGGTTTGTCAACTTTTTAAATCTTTTCAAAGAACCACTTGTTTTCATTGATCTTTTGTATTGTCTTTTTAGTCTCCATTTCATTTATTTCTGCTCTGATCTTTGTTATTTCCTTTTTTCTACTAACTTTAGGCCTTGTTTGTTCTCCATTTTCTAGTTCCTTGAGGTGTAAAGTTAGGTTGTTTATTTGAGATTTTTCTTGTTTGTTGAGATAGGCATTTATTGCCAGGAACTTCCCTCTTAGAACTGCTTTTGCTGCATTCCATAAGTTTTGGTATGTTACATTTCCATTTTCATTTGTCTCAAGGTGTATTTTTTGATTCTCTCTTTGACCCATTGGTATTCAGTAGCATATTGTTTAATCTCCACATATTTGTGAATTTTCCAGCTTTGTTTTTCTAACTGATTTCTAGTTTCGTACCGTTCTGGTCAAAAGGATGCTTGATATGATTTCAGTCTTCTTAAATTTGTTAAGACTTGTTATGTGGCCTAACATGATCTGTCGTGGAGAATATCTCATATGGACTTGAGAAGAATGTGTTTTCTGTTGCTTTTGGATGGAATAGTCTGTATATATCTGTTAAATCCATCTGGTCTAACATGTTGTTTAACGATGATGTTTCCTTGTTGATT